CTAGAAATCCTTTGTACGTTTGGGTCATTTTTGTTGCATTTCTTTTGGGCAAGATGCTTTGGGTCTAGTATGATATCTCAGACGAATTTCAAAATGGAGCTGTGAGTTATTTAGATAATTGAAATGCTAATAATTTCTTTCTTGATCTGAGTGCATTCTACTATTTTTTTACTAATAATTTTTATTATATGTTAATTTTACAGCTTATTGGGATCCTTTCGTTATCCACAAAGATTTTTTCAATATTAATGGATCTCCTAAAGAAACGAGCAAATCAAGTACAAAGAGTTGACTCTACAGGTAGGGTTCTTCATTCATACAATACTTCGCCATCATCATCAGCTGGAGCATCCAATAAAACTTCAGACAGTGTAGCTGAATAATGTTATTCAAGTCTACTCAATAATGTAAATTTAATATAAACTAAATTATTATTTTTTAAAATATTTATCAACTAAATTAGTTGATATTATCAAATAATCATTTGTTATTTTTAAATTACTATTAATAGACAATTGTGTACAATAAAGAGAATTTTAAATTTTCTGAAAAATAATTATTAGAAATATATAATTTAATTAAGTCAAATTTTGTTAAATTAAAATAATTTAAAGTTTTAATAATTATTATTATGCTTTAAAAATAAATAAATTAGCTAATCTAATAGATATTGGTTAAAAGGATTAAATAATTTGAACATATTATGTATTAAGTAATTATTAAGAAAATTCAGCTAGAAATGTTTTTGGTAAAATTTTTTGGATAGTGTTTATTTTTCAACACGTGAATTATCTTTGGAAATTCGTTATAAATATAAATTTAAGACATTTTATTCATTGCCCGCGGGCGGAAATGGCTGCCAGAAAATAACATTTTCCATGTAGTGATATACCATATGTATCAAAATCGAATAGCATACTTCAAAGCTAAAACTTCACATCTGTAAATAAACATTTAGATATTTAAATATACATTATATCTATACTATCTATATTTATACTACTATATAAAAGTTGTTTGGAATTCCACTCAAATGCAATCCTAGCCTTCCATTTAATTTATTAAAAATGAATCTCAACCTTTCATTTTATTTATATATTTAATTAATTTATTTATTAACTCCATTCATTTATTTAAATACATGACATTTTTTATTCTATTTATATTAATTGTATTGAATTAAACATCAATTGATCCATTTAATTTCTAGCGTTCAGTTTAGACTCTTCATATTCATTATATTTCGGTTCTAATACTCTGAAAGAATTAAATTTCACTTAATGAAGGGGCGTTTACACTGCTGAGCCGTTAAAAAAAATATTAACATTTTCTTGTTCAATTTTCAATTAAAGCAATGGTTTCTAATTCATCATAGCACTCGCTGCCAAACGGTTCTCAAATTAAATACTTCCCCTTCGGCTTCACGATTACAGTGGAGCATTTTCCAAATCATGTGAGCGTTTCACTTCTCTAATCTAATAAAGAAAAAAAAAAACCTAGGCGAACACAGTGACACTTCCACTCTTCCTTTGGCTATTCTGCCAATTCCCCGCTTACGGTCTTCCTCCCTCCTCGAAAGTCCTCCCGCTCGCGTAAGAACCAAGCTTGGCATGAGGTCGCCGCCGCTCTGCCGTCCTCGCCAAAAAAAGTTGGAGAATCCACCATTTGTGTTTCTTTTCCTGCTTATTTTTCGGGTTGAATATGCCATTTTCTCATTCATTTATTTCCCTATCTCTTCTGTTCTCCATTTTCTCAAAAGTTGTTTATTTTTGGACTTTTTTTTCATTGGTTGCTTTCTAGCTAGTGAATCATAAGAGTTTGATAAAGTTTCAAGCAAAGCTTTTCCACTGAATCGCCATGAAGGTAATGATCTTTTTCTATAACTTGAATGCATGAGCTTTGTGCATCCAAAAAAAAAAAAAACTTTGTGCGTCTATGAGTATGTGCATAAATTTCCATTATTTATTTATTGAATATTTTGATCTTTATGCTCTTTGTCAAATTTGAATGCATGATTTAATTTTTTTTAATTATGATTATTGTCCATTGATAGGGCCAATGCTCAACAACCAAAGCTCTTTGTGAGAATGATGGTTATTCTTATTTTTAATAAAGGTCTTGATCTTTATGGTCTAATTGTTGGCATCATTTCTCTTCTCGAGCAGGTCAATCCTGCATGCACTAAGAAATGAAGTTTTTAACGTTAGCTTTTCATTCTTCTTGAATGCTATTTTATATTGATTCATGACAGTATGTTACGTTGAAATATTTAATTTATTTTTGGATTGTATTATGATTGTAGTGAGATATTAATGATCATCATCATTCTTTTCTAATGAGTTTTTTTTTTTTTTTATCATTCTTTTCTAATGAGTTGTCACATGTAATAATTATTTTTTACACGTTTATTTCAGGAGCGGATTGAGATTAGTTGGCATGTATAACTCACTAAATTCTTTCTAAAGATGCATCTTTTAGATTCAATGTAATTTTTTTTTTATTTCTAATAAATAATATTTTTTTTTTAAATGTCGACCGGATGTAAATCTGCTATTTCCTTTTTTATTCATGGTAACATATTTGTTTTATTCAAGTGGTATGGTAGAAGTTCATATCTACTTAATTTTTTATCATCTCCTTTACTTGTAGCCTCAGTGTGTTTAACCCTTAGGGACTATTTTATTGACATAAAATTGGTGTAAAATATTTCAAATATGGAGGTTTTAAAAATATTAATGTTTTGTTTGAAGTAAAATAAATAGAGGGTAAAATTTTGGTGTATTTGAAATGTGTCTTCTATTGTAATTTTGGTGTATTAATCTTTCTCATTGTACTTATTAAATGTTGATTTCATTATAGGTAATGCTCTACCTTAGAATTACTTTTTTAAAATGATTAATTTAATCTTCTAATGGATATTATATTGATGTCAAAATATTAATTGATTAATAATCCATGCATTACACATTAACACACTTCTTAATTTTAACCAAGCACACTTTTAATTAGTATTTCTGCATAATAATAAAGATTAATAGTCTTATTGATTATGCATGAATCATATGTACATATACAAATATTATATGTAATATTCATAAAGCATTTACATATAGCATGTCATGAATTAATTTTTTAATTTTATAGCATCATTTATGTATTATTAAATTTTTATTCACGTGCATCATGTACATCTGCATTTTTTTGGAAACTAATCAAACCATCTTGGTAGCTTGCATTATGTCATTACCATTGGAGTCTGTATATTTCTTTGATTTCTTCTACCAGTAGAAGTTTATTTTATAGAATATGTAATAAATTTGAATCGTCATATTCTTTTGGTTCGTATTAATGCAATGTATGAGGGTTACATTAAGAAACATGATGCTTTCATTACTCAAATTTATTTATACTGCTGTATAAAAGTGGCTTGGGATTCCACCCATAGCAAATCCTCATCATTCATTTATAAACATAAAATTAAATCTATACCGTTAATCTATGACTCTTCATATTCTTTATTTTTTGGTTCATCCATAGCATTTTTTCAATCGTTAATAACTTTAATTTTACATCAAAACATGAACGTTTCAGTAGCTTCGTTCGAACGTTTTATCAAAATATTTTCGCTGAAGTGTTTCCGTGTTCCGATTCTCATTGGCTCTGTACTAAAGAAACACTAGCTGAGCCTTTATAGCCGAGCGTTTCATACCCGACTATTTCACTTCCCATTGCCGCACCCTATGAACATTTGATCTCCTCACAATTCCAATTTCGGGGAGCATTCCGAATGGTTATCTGATAACAAAAATAAAAAGGGCAAATTTTAAGACTAAGCATGATTATAAATTGTATTAAGAGTTTAAGCATATTTTTTTAAAAAAATTTAAAAATAGGAAAAGTAGGGCGACTTTCTAGTCTAGTCAGCATTCAAAAAATTTTTAAATTTAAAAAAAAAAAATACTGTAGCAAGTCGCCCGTTTAACGGGCGCCTTGCTACAGTGAAATATTATTTTTTTAATAAATTATTTCAGAAATTCTTAATTTTTAATTTGTTATATTAACATAAGTTTGCGCATTTTATCCACCGCGCATTTAATCAACATCTCCTCCTAAGTCATATTTCAATATTTGACCAATAACGTAGGTCGAATATAACTAATTGGGTTTGTTGTGAATTTAGAAGTCTAAATCAATAAACCTATAAAGTTTTATAGATGAAGATATTCTTTTGATGATTCTTTTATTTTTTTTTTAAAATTTTGACAGTAGTAATTGTGATTGTGTTATAGAGAACTGCTAAAATATTTTTTAAATTTAAACCTGATTGATATATTTTAAACTTCTAAGTGTTTTAATGTATCTATATATTTCCAAATATATTACATACTAATTAATCATGTAGGATTACAGATAATATTTTCCATCGGATTCACACATTCCCAAATCTCTTCAATAAAATTAGAAAGAAAATCCTACAATCAATCATAAAAAGTTAAACCGAAAAAAGTAAACCGACCAACCCATCTCTACGTCTATAAATACCCATCTTGCTCTCTTATACTCATAAGGGAAAATTTTAAGACAGTTGTTTGTAGGTAACCGCAATTTATCCTAAGCTATCTCAAGCACCGAAGAATATATTAAATTCTCTCTATTTTTTTTGGCTGAGATGAGCCGTGGATAAAATGCGCAAACATATGTTGATATAATATATTTTTATTTGTGCGTATTAGTGAGAAATTAAAAATTAAGAATTTCATAAATAAATTATTATATAAATAATATTTTACTGTAGCAAGGTGCCCGTTAAACTGGCAACTTGCTACAGTAATTTTATTATTATTTTTTAAAATTTTTTAAATTTTTTTGAATGCTGACTAGACTAGTCGTTTAATTAACGACTTTGCCTATTTTTAAATTTTTTTAAAAATATATTTAAACTCTTAATACAATTTATAATCATGCTTAGCTTAGTCTTAAAATTCTTCCCGCTAATCTCCTTCTCTCCCTTTCGCTAATCTGCGACGTCGAGCCCTTCTCGCGTTCGGCCTTCCCTCATCGCCTAAGTTCTTCTCGAGTGAAAACCCACTGCATGAGGCCGTCGCTGCCCTACCAACCTCGTCGAAAAAGGTTTGAGATTCCAACTCATATGTTTTTCTTTTGATACTAAAGATCAAGGTATTAATAAAAAACAGTCTTCCGATGGAACTTCACGTGAAGAGTTTTGAACGAGTCAATAAAGAAGCTTGGATTTCTTCGATTGTTCAGCTGTAACGGTTCACCTCTACCTTACCTCCTTCCTCGATCTTTCTACTTCTCTCTTCGTCATCTTGGTCTTCCTCCCTTTGCCAAGCTAAGAGGCTGGAAGATAGAGAAATATAAATCCTCAATTCGCTCTCCATTAGCTTGATTTTTGTATGTTTCCAGATCAGGCTTGAGGAGGTGATCGATTCAATGTTATTTTCTATATTTGTTGTGGTTTAAGTCATCCATAGTTTAGGGATAAGGGATTGGGATTTTTTTTCTTGTGGACGCGACGTTCTTTCAGGGCTTGGGGTTTCAAGGGGCTGGCGATGTTGGCGGTACGGCCGTGGAGAAGAAACCCCAACATCGGCACAGCAATTCCATGGATGGGGCGACTTCTTCATTCAAAGTAGAGTCTCCGTCGTTGCAGTCAAACTACGCGAAGAAGGCAATAGCGACGGATAAGTTTGCGGAGCTTGCTCTGATCGATCTGAAAAGCCAAAAGGCCTGATTTTTCTCCAATCCTTTATTTGAGCTTTGCATGCTTATGTGATTATTAGGAGTTCTGATACTTGTTGGAATTGATCTTTTATTAAGCTCTATTCGATTTTGACAACCAGACTTTGAGTGCTTTTAGTTGGATATCGATTATTTATTCAGGGAAGGTGAAAATCCGATTCGTAGATTGGATGCTTCAATTTATGATTTGGCTTTTGATTTTCTCAGTTGGAGTTTCTTATATGAGAAACCCATTCGGTGTTATTCAAGATTGAATACGTGAACTATGGCTACTTTGATTTCTTCCACTGCAATATTTGTTCAAATTGCTTATACATTTTTTTCCGCAGTGTTGTGCTTTCCTTGGCAAATAAAAAGATATTTCATTTCTTAATCTAATATTGCGATTTAAGATATTGATCCTTGCCTAAATCTCTCTTTTTTTTTATTCCTTTGCCTAAATCTCTTAATTTGTAATTCTTCTTTATAAAAGGTTCAAGTTCTGTAATGCTAAATTAGCCTACTTATTCTTTGTTTGTGTTTATATTTCGTAAACATCATGCAGAACTTAGTTATAAGAGCATTTGCAGGTAATAGCACTTAGCGGAATGAATGATAACCACAAGAGCCGTCTGAATCGCTTTCATAAATATTGTGATACTACAAGGGTGGTTTGATTCATTTCCGTACAAAGTACGCCGGGATGACGAAAACAGGGCTTGAACTCTTCTGCTTATATAAATAAGCTTAATCAACTGGAGAATAGTTGTATCATTCTCATTGATTTAGTGCTACCAATCACATATTTGCTCATCTCCTCATTGCTTTCACCTGCTTTACTAGAATCATTCATAGGAGTGTGACTAGAAGCATAGCCTATAAAGGAATATTTGTTCATTTTTCTTAGTGTGGCTAGACATTTTTTTAATTTACATGTCCTGTTTGGTTGAAACCCACATATGCCCTATGTTTAATCAAAATTCTTTGATTCAATTCACAGTGCTTCATACAAATTATTGGAATCTATGTTTTGTTGTGTATAAAGGGATACATTAACTATATAAACTTTGGATTGACAAGTGTTTCAGAAGTTCCATGCTAACAAAATGATGTCTCTAATTATGTTGGATTTAATAAGTAGCAATGAAAAATCAGTTTTTGCTAACAAAGAAAAAGATGCATCTGCTTCTTATTTTATTTCAGTCTTATTGACATAACTTTTGATTTTGATTCTCGGGGATATGATCTTAAGAAAAGGATTTACTTTTCGTGGCAAGAGTCCTCCTCTTTTACTTTCATAAAACCATGAACTAATACACACATTAGTTATATGTATTACTACTAAAATTGCAACTTTTTGTTTGACAAGGCAAGTCAACAAGCTTTAAAACAAGGCGTTTATCATGCTACACATTATTTAATATATTATATTCATATGCATTCTCGTGTTTGTATTTTGAATGGCAAAATTTGGAAATGAATTATCCTATTGAGCAATGGATTTTCATTCTGTTATATTCAATGCTGAAAATTATCATATTTGATTACATGTGATGTACATCTGGAGACTCAACCTAAATTCAAAAACCTATTAGAAAAAAAAAATCTATATCCAATCTAAAATGCTGGTTATATATATTCTCTTCGGAGTTCTAAATATTATCCTCTTCTATTAATGCTCGCTCATTTCTAGCATTTATCTGTAATCAACTACATCCAAAAAGCCTGATGCCAGGGCTCAAGCTGTTAAGGCTGCGAAGGCAGTGAAGTCAAGGGCTTCATCTATTAAGAAAAAAATTCAAAAAGATTCGAACTTCTTGACTTTTCACCCTCCAATGACATCGGAAAAGGCTTAGGAGCCAAAGTACTCTAAAATTTGTGCTCCTTTCAAAGACAATCTGGACCATTACCAAATCCTCAAGTATTCGCTAACAATAAAATCCGCCATAAAGAAGATTGAAGACAACAACACTCTTGTCTTCATTGTTGACATTCAAGATGACAAGAAGAAGATAAAGGCTACTGTCAAAAAGATGTATGACATTCAGACCAAGAAAGTTAACACTGATCATGTTAGCGGCCTTGCTTGTCATTCTCTGTAGCAATTAAGAGCAATTTTCTTTTACAATTCAATATCTATAAATTACATTTTATTTCTATTCTAAGGCTTGATGGGACGAAGAAAACTTATGTGAGGTTGACTTTGAATTATGATGCACTTGATGTTGCAAACAAAATTGGTATAATCTGAAGTTAATTATGGAAGGTATTGTTTTGTTGATGAACTAGACTATAACATGTCGAGCAATAAATACTGATCGTTCATTTATAAATTTTAAATTAATCTACAACGTTCATTTATGACTCTTCAAATTCTTTTATTTTTCACTTCTTCCAAAACATTTATTAACTCATTTATTATTTCACTACTGTGCTTTTAAAAGTCTTCTCAGCTTCTCCTCTTGCCTCTTCGCAATCCTTTGAATATGGTCGTGATGGTGCGAGTGAAGACGCCAAAAATCCACTGTAAATTAAAGATTAAGCGCTTGAAATCTCCCTCACATTCGACTGTAAGTAAAAATAATTAATTCTAAACATATTTTCCCCAAAAAAAAAAACTTTGAAGATGCTCGTAATGGTGCCAAAGAATACGGTTTGATGTCAGCCAAAAAGTCCACTATAAATTAAAGACAAAACGCTTTTTAAATGTGGCTTGTAGTTTATAATTAATGTCGATTTTGCTTATATACTTGCTTATTCTTTGAGTTATCCCTTACGGCTCTCAGAAGTTTTTTTAATAGGTAATATTCTTATAGATTTCAAAAATTATTACCAATTTTTATTGATCTTATGCATGCTTTTTTAACTCTGTTATGAAATTTTTCTTATGCATGCTTTTTCAACTCTGTGATGATTTTTTTTAAAAAACTAAGTTTATTAATATGTTTTGCAGAAATGTCTCAATTCCAATAAATCTCCATATTCATTCCATAGTAAGTTGAATCAAATTTATTTGTACTTTTTTCTCTAGCAAATTTTTATAATTTCATGTCATTTATTGTTCATTTTATAGTAGTACAAAGAGTAAATAACAAATATTTGAGTAGCAAAATTTGAAGAAATAGTATGCATGTCATCAGTAATTTCATCAGCAAAATCATTTAAATAAGATATAGTGAGCTAAAAAGTCTAGTAGAACACCAAAATCTTATAACTAAACTCAAAACATGATGAAGAAATAATATGCATGTCATCAGTAAATTCATAGTAGTAGGAGTCAATATGATCATGATCTATGCATAATATTATGTCACAAGTAAGACATGATGGTAGACAATATGCATTGTCCGTTCCCCCGAGCTCTCTGCTAGGGTTCCCTCTCTGGGGGCTGCCGGCCCTCCCCGCCTAGTTTGGCCTCCCGTCTTCATTTTTCTGGTATTTCTTCTCTCTATGCGCTCTTTTGTTGGTTCTTGAGTTTTTGGCATTTAATCGTATTAAGGATCCTGGTTTCCTTGACGATAATTCCCTCTTCAATGTATTTTCTCAAAGCGCTTTCTTCGCCTTCGCCCTCTTTTCCTGATCTTAAAGCTGGCACTCATCGTGGCTTACCGTCTCTTTGGATCTTGGATGAGGAAGTGCTCGCTTTGGCGGAATCATTCGAGTTTTCATTAATTGTTTTTTTTTTAGGAGCGCCGACCTACGCGCTTCGTAATTTTTTTTTCAATTTCAAATTGAATGGTAGTTATTCTGTTACATTGCCGAGTGCGAAGCATGTTTTGATTAAGCTAAGTAATGATTTATACTATTGTTGGGTTTTTGCCCACCGCTTCTATTTTGTGTTTAGCTGCTATATGAAACTTACAAAATGGTCTCCTTGTTTTGATGTGAACATTGAATGCTCTGTTAATCCTATTTGGATAGGTTTTCCTAATTTTTTCCCTCTTTTTTTCTCTCCTCCGATTCTCCATGGGCTGGGCTCTTTGTTCGGTAAACTCTTCAAAACCGACTTCGTTACTGCAGTTGGCTCTCGTCCGATTGTGGTGCATGTGCTTCTAGAGCTTGACATTACCAAACGTTATCATGACCGCATATGGCTTGGTTCAAATAAGTTTGGTTATGTTCAATTAGTTGAAATGGAGGTTTTCCCAAATTATTGTGGAAATTGCAAGTCTATTGGTCATGCCAATTCTGATTGTATTGTCCTGTCTCCTAAGCTAGTTGATAAGGTTAAAGTTAATTCTAATAATTGTTGCTCTTTTGATCCTGTTGGGGACCCTATTGTGGTTGTATTACATGTTGAGCAAACTCAATCGGTTTATGGTGTTAATGTGGGGGTTGGGGTTGACGTTGGGGGTCTTGTTGCTTCGCTCTCCCCATCAGTTAAGTGTCTGGATATGGTTCCTGTTGTGGCTCCGCTTGCCTCTTTGGCTGTGCAATGTCCTATTAAGCCTTTGCCTTCCCCGTCCTTACCTGTGGCTAAGTTTTCGGGTAGTCCTAATGTAGTTTCGTCTTTTGCTGATGATACCTCGGGTCAAATCGTGGCTGTTGATCCTTCTGGTCAGGTGGTGTCTGACTTAGTTTTACATGATTGTGAGGTTAATAAGAGTGGAAAGGAACTTCCTATAGGTCTTTCATGTGCAAATGTTGAGGCTTATTCTGGGTCTACTTCGGAAGCTGGTAGTCATGCTGCAGTTGCTGTGACTTGCTTACCTTTGTCTGTCTCGAATCGTTCGGTTAATTGTGTGGACATTCCTATTACTGTTATGTCTACTGTTGAATTAAATGCTCATCTTAATTGGTCATCAAATAAGTCAGTTTTGGTGCAAAACAATTGGCTGGATTTGGAGGAGGATTATCCCACTTCTTGCGAGGTTGTTGAGGATGACTTGGGTGATAGTGTGGAAGATGATTTCTTTCTTGTTTCTAGGGGTAAAAAACATAAAAGTAAAGCTAAGAAGAAATAACTTTTGGATTGCCATCTTCGTATCGATTGCTATGATTTTTCGTGTGCATTGGACGATGATGAGGCAGCTTTACATTTCTCACCTTGTTTGCCATGGTTTGTTGGCAACCTTAGTGGTAAGTCGTGGCTTGGTGGGTGTTGTTTTTCGTAATGTGTCACCAATGGATGGTCCGAACTTGGCTGCGGCGTGTAGCTGCAAACTTGAGTCCGCTGGATTATCTCTTTTGTCCTGATCTATCATTTTCTGTTTTGAAAAATGAAAAATATCGACTCCATTTACAATAAACTCTAATCTAATCTGCCTTGAAGTCTTCAACAGTCTAAAGCATGATTTCCCTAAAATGTTAGTACACATAACAACAAAAGCAATATTTCTAATATATGTTAGGAGAATCAAGCAAACAATAATATTTGGAATTATCAAAAACACACAAAACATGAAAACATCTCCATATAAAAACTAAGTTGCAATACAACTGCCATCCTATTTAGCCAATCAAATACAAAAATGATTAAAAATAAAATCAGCCATATTAAGTGAAAGCAAAAAAGTTGCACCAACATTATATGGAGATAAGTTCATTAACATACAATAATTAATAATTAGCAACAAGAAAACATAGTAATATACACAAAGAAATGTGTTACAAATAATCTTCATTTGCGAGAAAACCAATCCAAAAACCAACAGAAATGCCACACGACCATCCAAAGAAATGAGAGGTCAGAAAAACTTCTAGTAATAAACTAGTGATATTATAGCAGCCAAAAGCTTAAATATATTAGGTAAAATAAAGTTGCAACATATTTGTAGGTAAGCCATCTTTCATACTCAATCTTGTGCTCCTTAGTCCTATGGAAAAATTAAGTTTTTGATCAACTTTTGTCATTAGTCTTTTTATTTATGAAAATCATGTTATTCCTTTTCTTGCCATGTAAAATAAGCAGTAATATGCACAACAAAAAAGATGAATCTTCTTATAATTTCACAACCAACAAAATTTGAATGATTTAAGACTTGATTTATGGAGCCTTCTAAATGAAAGAATTCCTCATTAGAGATGTAATTTTTAAGGAGTGAATGAAACTTCACAATAAAAAAAGAGGTGGGTGTGATTTTCATTATGATGATTACATAAAACACAAATTTGATTAACCATAAAACCCCTTTTTAGGAGGCCATCAACAGTTATGAGGTCATCTTTTAAATTTTCCAAATAAGAAAATTTTAGTTAATAATATACTTTTTAAATCAAATATGCTCATACCACCTTATTTTAAGAGCTTTCTGAAAGATATGAGAGTAAATTTGTGCATTGGCTATGATTTTTTCTTTTCAATTTAGAGATAGGAGGTACATTTTAAGATTATTAATAAATTAAAAAAACTTAGTTTTATGATTATATTTAAAAAAATGAATAATTTAAAATCCAAATTTTTCATAAAAAGGCACTCCAATTGATAAGTATATATGATTTACATGTGAATCATGCAAGAAGCTCTATTATCTTGTCCCCAAACTCCCTCCCCTAATGTCATATGTGATGCTTTGAAGATCCAATCACACTATTTCAAACTTACCTACATGGGCCTCCCCATCTCCACCAAGAAAACTTAGCTTTCTGATTTTCAACCCCTTATCCAGGTTATTACTTTTCTTTGAGTGTGACTATTCCATTTCTGTCATCTCTGAGCTCATTCGAAATTATTATTTTTTTCTTGAGATCTAATCTTAATCAGATTTTTTATTATGTGAAGGAGCCCTATTCTCCTATGCAAGATTTTATATACTTAAACTATCTTGTTATTTGATGCTCGATTTATCATATCTAGAGGGAGAGAAATAATCACATATTTGAGCCTAGTTGTGCTAGTGTCACCACCAATTATATCACAATCAAAAAGGTTGTTTGTCTAAAAGTCTCCAAGTGGAAAAATGAGAAAACTCCTACTGTTGCATTTAATTTTTGAAATCTCTGAGATGTTTATTGCTGTGCTGATAGTTGGTTCTTGGTATTTTGCTTCATGATGTGTTTCTAATATATCTAATATTTCATCTTTTTGAGGTTCGACTAGCAATTCTGTGATGAAGATTTCGACTCTTATTTTTTTTGATATGGTGGGATTTGGGCAGGCCATGGACGATGAGGATAATCCCTTAACTCCAGGTCATTCCCCTTGGATGGCCATACTGGCATCCCTAGTTTCATATTATGACTAACTCTTTTTGATGCTACTATCTAAGTCCTGATTTCATGGAGTTTGAGTTTTGATACTTCCGCTTTTTTCACAATAGTTTGTTGGCAAATGTTTTGAGTTCCTTATCTTTTGTATCATGGAACTATTTCTTTTTTATGAGCATGATTCATTTTTTATTGATGCTTATGTTGTTTCTTTTATTTTGACTTCTCCTTTTTGTAACTCTTTACTTTTGTAATCTTTTTTATTATTATTAATGAATTGGGCTAATGTCCTAATTTTCTAAAATAAGGAGGACTGAACTAGTATCGCTTGCCCGAGCCATGTGGTCAAATTTCTGGCGTTCATTGTCCGTAGAAATCACTTAAAAGTGGAGAAAAGGTTAACTGATATCAACTGTTGCATTAATCTTTCTAGAAACTTCTCATAAGCATCTCTGACGGCGATGGCAACGACCACAGGCATTCTTCTCTGTAACTCCGTCCTCCTCCCACCTAAAAACCTAAATTCATTTCCTCGTTTAACGACCGTCAGAGCCAACCTCTCGTTGATCGATGTCAGGAATGAAAATTTACGCTCCACGCTCTTTTCGGGCGTCCGCTATGAAAGGGCGAAAGAGTTTCGAGCGCCGGTCTTCTCCTCTTCTCCAGCTGGCGATCTGCGGCCGGAAATCGACGAGAACCCGGAAGGGATTCTATCTGGTGAGTGGCCGGAGAATTTCTCCCTCCTGAGCTATGATGACCTCAAGGCCTATCTTGAGACGCAAATCGCCAGCGAGAAGGTCTGTCTTCTCTCGGTGTCCGATTTCTCTTTTTTATCTTTATTTTGTGCTTTCTTCTGTTCAAAAATTTGGTTTCTGATGGCAGATGAAACCCTCGGCCTTGTTGGGAGAGGTGATGTCAACGTCTATCAGGACCGCGACAGCGGATCAGACGCTGGAGGAGATCGATCACCATTTTGAGATCGTGTCGGGACTTCCAGTTATAAATGAGAATCTCAAATGCATAGGGGTTATATCGAAGAAAGATAAGGCTAAAGCGTCTAATGGGGTTAGTTATTTGAGCTTATGACACTTATTCCTGAGGTTTTATTCTGAACAAAATATTAGATTTTGCTGATCGGAGCAAACAAATAAATAAATCATTTTCTTTCCTATTGACTATGGATCGTTTGTCTTCTGTGCTCAGTTGGATGAGCTGCATGACATAACAGTTTTTATTTTGTTATTGTGAAAAGTGGAAAAATAGTGAGAGAGATAGGGATGGAAACAAACAAAGCAAGGCGTACAGATGGTATTGCTACTCAAAGAAATTGTGTTTGGTTCAATGTTATTGCATTTAAAGATATCTATGTTTTAAGTTACTAATTATTTGATTTAGTTATATCTTTAGAGTCCAGAATACTTGTGTTAAGATTTTTTTATACATTTTTCTATTTTTCTTGAGTTATCTTGGAATATTCTTTTCTATGATTTGAATCTGGTCTTGTTCTTTGTTGAATAGGCACATCGAGTTGCTGACGACCTGTGAGAACTGAGAACTTGAAAGTGAACTATGTATATTAATGCATTTTCAACATTATAATCATCACCTTTTGATGGCATCACGGAAAGGTTTTAATTATAATTTAAGATGTCTGACTAATAGATGTTGCTCAATTTAGTCGACATCTAAATGACGACCAAAAAGATCATTTACAAGTTTTGAAGATGTCAGTGAACCAGATGATTAACATTTTCTAATCACATAACATGATATTTAGATTTTAGTGAACCAAACAACCTCTAAGTGTGTTAAGAGAAGGGCATGACTCATAGGCAAATTATCATATACTTTGTTCACATGCAATACATTTTACTTACCTTTGTCCAAATACTAGTACATACACATTGTAAAATAGTTGCCTCTATCATATATGGGATCCAATCTAATGCCTAGTTGTTTATTGAATATTTAATCTTTACATTTTAATTGTTTTACTCATAGTGCAACTTTTGAGAATCTGGTAGTTAAATCTTGTTTTGTCGGCTTATCAAAGGGTTGTTTGCTTCCTTGCATTTTTGTTCCAACAAAATGCTAATATGGCGTGTTATCTAGTTGTAGCTATCACAATTCATTTGTTTGGAATTCTGCCTTTAATAGGGATTGTAGAAATTGTAAGGCTAAAGAAGTCTACATTGTTACATTACCATTTGATGCATTTTGAGCTACATTTTGAACTTCGCTAGATGTATTCAAACCCTTAACAAAATAATAGAAAGCAATGAACTACAATTTTGATGAAAAGTATGTGTGTGAGAGTAATTACGAGAGTAAGAGTGAGAATGAGAAAGAGTAATAAAAAAAAAAAAAAAACACCATAAAAGGTGACACAGAGGTTCGTGCAGTTTAACAAGGTTGTCTTGTGTTTGTCCATGACCTCGCATAGGAGCTTTCACTAGTTCAAGGATGAGTACAAAATACACATATCTTCTGTCAAATGTCATTTCTAATACTCTCTCTCCTCTCTCTCTTTCTTTCTCCCTATTTTTCTTCTCTCACAATTTGAACAAACTCCTAAAAGAGTCTTAAGATGAATTAGAGAGCACAGAATGGTTTCTTTACATGCTTAGGACTTTGATTTATAATCGAAGTGAAATAAGATAAAATTTTGAAGAAAATAGCCACCATAAGTCTGACCTGATGACTTCAATAACATATTGAAAAATTGTTGGAAGGAGCCAAAACAACTGTAACTAGAATAGAACAGTGCCGCTAACAGAACGAATATTCAAGATAGTTGCTCACAGAAGCACTGTCAATAGAAGCACCCTAAAGAAGCCGCTAAGCAATATTCTCAAGCCTTTAGTCATTCTAAGAATTAGGAAGTTGAACCAATTATTGTTCAGGATATGGTCCACATGAAATATGGTTTGGTTTAAATAAGAACTGGGTGTATAGCAATTGAACACCATTCTCTCATTCAAAACAATACCTTAAGAATATTATAACATCATAGGCATTTAAATATATAAACCCATTAAAAAAATTATTTACTATAATTAAAGTTCAAAATAGAAAATTCATTCAAAATTCAAATTTACCAAAAGTTCAATTTCTTTTGACTGTAAACTTTGAGATTATCTTCAATTCTGCCTAGTTTGATAAAGTTTAATTCTAATAAATTATTCAAAAAAAAAATTAAAATAGTTACAGGCATTATTATTAGACTTCGAAGAGATATCCGTGAGTTTTTACATACATGCTTGTCTTGTCACTACACAGAAACCTATGGCATTCATCTTCAACGAAATACATGATGTCATCACTTACTATAACTTTTGTTAAAGATTAGTGTGATCGTTTGAAAATCATGCAGATGATGTTTTGGATGTGAAACCTAAAGTAGGATGTGGAAAGATAAAATAATTCAAGACATTGATTGATGGTTCATGATATAAATTTAGATTAAATTAATAAACAATGTATTTGTACAATAGTTTTTTACACAATCATTGAGCTAGTAAGCTCCACTTTCATATATTTGCTCGCCTTACATCCAATTTTTTTTTTTTTTTTAATTGAGAAATTAGAAAAAAATCAAAATGATTCATGCTATTATTTGTAAGGTGTCATTTTAGTCCTAACTATCTAATATATTCAATTTAGTCTATTGGTTCATCAAATATAATCCAAAATAGTCCCACTATTAGATTATTTTGAATCATATTTGAAGATTCAAGGGATTACATTTAATTGCATTTGAAGAGTTAAGGGATTAAATTGGATACATTAGATAGTCTACAATTAACGTGATCCCCCCTCTAAATAGTCTAAGGACCATTTTCGACCTTTTCTCAATGAGAAATAATAGGATGCTATAACATGAGAACTAAATATCCAACCCTAAAAGTTCTAGATTGAACTAACTAATCATGGGCTTGCACAACTCGAGTCTTATAAAGTTCAAGGTTTTGATGTGCTCACAAACATAGCTCATGGAGCAATCAAGCTTTTCAAGACTTAAACAAGCATTATCTTTCATGTTACTTACGATTGATCGCTACAGGTGATGATGGAAGCTTAATTTCTTGATGAGTTATGGCTTAAATTGTAAAGGCAATGACATAATAAGTAGGACTATTAATTTCTCAACGAGTATGATAAGTAGTCTTATAGGTTCATTAAATCTCTATTAATTTATCATTGTAATCGCATTTATCAGTGAAGAGTAATTTCTTGATAAGTTGGTTTGACATCTTGTTTAAGGATTGCGTTAAACTATTTTCCCTTTGGTAATATATGGTGAGATAATGCCAATCAATGTTATATCAATGGGTAAATCTATTATTTATCTACTATTTTATACACTGAAGGCTTTGTAGTTATTTGGAATGATTTTTGTGGCACTCTAAAGTCATGGAATATGTGTTTCTTAAATAACTAAGAATGTTGTTTACTTTGATTTTTTTAAAGGGATTGCTTTCACTCACCTTTTGAAGCAATCTATGGCAATATGCCTTGGAAGAGGAGGGTCTATTGGGCTAATTATATATTCACCTTAGCTCTCTAAAAATCACGAGGCTATAGTGGTTTGAAGAGGGTTAGGAGGTTTATTAATCACATTGTTCTGAATTTGACATCATTGACACACTAGGGCTATAAAAGAACCAAGCCGAACAAAGCGGGTGCTTGTTCATTTTAAAGCTTATTTATTATCAGCTTGTTCAAGCTCGGTTTGAGCTCGATTTGAGTTTTCCTATTTCTGTTCAAGCTTAGTTCATTTAAAAAAATAGATGTTCATGTTTGGGTTATGTTCGGTTAATATTCGATTCATTTTATACTTATCGAGCTTTAAACAAATGAGCCTTATTGAGCTATTAATATATTTTTTTTAAGATGTTATTTAGCTTAAGAAGCAAACCTTATTGAATCTATCAACTAACATTATCATAGAACTTGTTTGCGAACATATCCAACAAATATTTTTGAGATATCAAATTGAGTCGTTCACGAACATATATAGCGAGTATTTTTGAGCTATCATATGAGCTTGTTCATAAACAATTAAGCTCAAAAAATGATTCTTCTTATAAACAAGCTTGTTGGTGAAGACTTTAAACCAACAATCTAGCAAATATGAACAAATACTTTTTGTTCATGAACAAATTCATTCTAATAAAAGATTATAACATTAAAAATGAAATTAATTTTTTATAAAATAAAAATTATAATGAAACTAAAAATTATGTGAAAATATACCAAGTAATGATTTAAGGCAATCTTAAGAATTGTATTTAAAAAAATGAATCGAGCTTCTTAATGAGCTTCTTACCAAGTTTTGTATTGAGCTTGTTCACAAGTTTTAAATAATGTTGTTCATAAATATAAACAAGTCAAACATATAGTTCAAGCTTCTTTATTTAACTATTGAGTATTTATAAAGGTTTTGAAGCATGTCTGATTACTTTATAATATGATTACGGGAGCTATAATCGAGCCGAGCCATGGGCAATTTTGTCTACAAGTGCACCATCTAGAGTGTGCAAGTCAAGTTTGATGATTTGGTATTGTTCACTATAGTCTACTCACCTATTCTAGAATTTAGCCAAATTTGATAGTCCAATAATTAATGGGTATTGTCATATTGATTATTTTTTGTAAGTTATGAAATTGAGTCAAAAACATTAAACTGGAAAAATTAATAAAATATAATTGGATTTCAGTTTGATGACTAGAAATGTGTCATCAATGATTGGCAATGATTGTGAATCATTACTGATGGCTCAATGATTTGACCAATGATTGGGAATGTACTATTTGAAGATGCAAAACCATTAATAACCATTTAATTAAGAATCATAGATAAGATTGCACTAAATGAGAACCTATTCAATAAAATATAAAGCTCATTGGATGAATTATTTCGTCCAACTTGATCTAAATTGTTCAGTCCAGTGAGGGCTAATCCAAACTGTTTTTTGTTCCAAAATAAAACTTCTTTAAAAATAAAGATGATACAATCATGACCCCACGAAAACAACAGGGTTACAAAGCGAACAAAAAACCACCAATAAGAGAAACAACCTCAAAGGAAAGAAGACGGAAATGAAAGAAACAAAGACAAGAAAAGAGCGAGTGCCCGCCAGAAAAGGGCTAATCCAAACTGTGGCTTATCTCCCCTCACAGATTAGGTTTAGAGTAGTACTATAATTGTCAAAGATTTCTAGGAGCTCTCCATGAAGGTTTAGGAGTTATTAGAGCTTGTCATTACTGGGGATATACTTGTTGATGAAAGGCTATTGAACAGGCAACCCAATGCGGTATGGGGTGGCATGATCGAATGGTGGAGAAGTAAAATATATAGTAGGGTTGGAGATTACCTATAATGGGATATGTAAATTTTAGCATTCCATAGCTTAATTAATTGAAGTAACTTCTCTTCTAGATTCGTACTGCCTTCATTCTCCCTTTAGATCTTTTTTCACTTTAAATAACTAGGATAGCTAAGTTTAATGTAGTCTTGACACAATCTTTAGTCTATGGTTTGGCTAGATCTTGATATTGTAGCAAAAACAAATATTTTGCTCTAAGCTATTATGTCATCATTATTTGTTTCATTCAAGGTCTATAGTGAGAAATTATGGATGAGTTAATCTACAATTATTTAAAATTTTAATATGAAGTTTTATACAAAATTTTAGATAATGAGGAATGATGAATATCATAAATATATTATTGGTATTACTGGATCATTGGTTAATGTTCTTAAGATAAATATTTAGCATCTCCATTGAAACCTGTCAAACCAATGCCAACCAAAGCATTATGCAAGCTCATGCCTGATCTTATTGAGTAAAATTATAGTTCATGGCATGTTTTTTGAACATGTATTAGATGCAAATGAAGATTTATAGTTATAATATGAATCTAAATCTAATTTTATTGAATTTGAATCCTTATATATATTAGATCATGTTTGTGAACGTAGCTCTATATTTTATAACGGTCAAAAGTTGTGTTTGAATTGAAATTGAGATATCATCATATTTGAAGTTAAACTTCTACTTTGAATTGAATCTATTCTTAAATGTGATCTTGTTCAAATCAGGCGTGATGAAGTTAATAAAATAATTAAAGAATATGTTTGTTTAGCTTTCAATGAAGTATTTAACAAAATCATCTCTGCACATCAATTTAGATCAACTTTGTTTTTGGTTCTTGATTTCTTGATGTACCATTTAATGAAAAGAATCTCATAAAGAAAGTTAAATTATATCAAGGTTTCAATGAATTTGTTGATGATAAATACTTAAAAGAAACTTGAAAGTTGAAACTTAAAGTTCTTTTATTTATTCAATTCTAAAATTTTGTTATGTTTTTTTGAATCTATCTTTTCTCCTCTATTAGACTATATTCGTGAAATAAACTCTTAACAAGTGTCAAAACATGAGTTTGAATTGAAACTGAGCATGCCATCATATTTGAAGTTGAACTTCTATTAGAATTGAATCCCTTCTTAAATATGATCATGAATAAATCATGATTGATGAAGTTTATAAAATAATTGAAGAATCTCATTACTTAGCTTCCGATAAAGTATTTATTAAAATCATCACTACAAACCAAATGAGATTTTTTTTTTTTGGGTTCTTGGTTTCTAGATAAATCATTTAATAAAAATAACGCATTGGATCGAATACTTGTCGAATACTTGCAAATTAGAAATTCCATCTTAGATTTTCATAAGAAAGTTGCAGATCGTTAAGTCATCCTGCATCAATGCGGAAGAATACTTTCAATTGACTGTTGATTGAATGAGTTTGCAATGCTGATGAGGTTTATATTTTAAGTAGGCTAAGCAAAAATATCACATCAACATCAAGGATAACATGGAAGGTTGGTTCATAAATAGGTGTACTAATTCAGTTCATAGATGCTGTAGCTCCATGACAGTTTATCTTTTTGCCACACTCGGCTCGTAGTGCAGTGGTTTTCACTGCAATTTCCTCTTTGCTCTTGGACCAATCTTGCCAAGGGTTTCATCTATTCTGAGAAATTGAATTATTAAGCTTAACACTGTCAGGTCTTAAGTTCTGGATGAGAAAAGTGAAGGATTGCATTAGATAGTCGACGGCAAAAGTAAAACTTGTCGAATAATAATGACATGAATCCTTTAAGAAATTGTATAAATTGAACAAAAGAAAAAAAAAATCGTTATTATGCTTCTTCTATCATTTCAGAATGTTAGAACCTAGGGATGTGGGCCTTCATGGTCTTATGCATGGTCCCTTTCAGAAAGGGAAATAAGTTATTTCTATTCTTGTCAGCCTCCTGATTTAGTAACGTGAAATCTGTTATGCAGCTCAAGTCAAAAGTTGGCGAAGTGATGTCTTCCCCTGCTGTCACACTATCACCCGAGAAGACCGTCTTGGGTAATTTTGTACCCAAACCTTTCTGTTGCCATTTTCAGAACTCTGGACATGACTGAAACAGTGAAACTAACTGCTCAAACCTTGTGTGCAGATGCTGCAACTTTGATGCTGAAGAAGAAGGTCCACAGGATACCCATTCTGAATGAGAAACAACAAGTTGTAGGTAAATTTATCTAAGCACAAGGAATTAATAGAATTTTCTTTCCAATATCGAACATTTTGGTTATAACTGATTTTAACTTCTGTCTTCTGTGGGACTAAACAGGTATAGTTACTCGCACTGACGTTTTCCAGGCATTGGAGGCTACAGAGGCATAATCTGCATGCGTAACTCTTTTGTGTGGATTTGTACAAATTGTCCATTTTCCTACCATTATGCCTAACTATGAAACCTGACTTTGTTTAATAATGAAACTAAGTCATGTCAGTATGAGAGTTTAATCCTCAACAGAATCTGTTTCTTTTGAGCAAACAACTTTCACAATAGCAGCACTCAGTATCATCTCACCTCCATCTCCCATCTGTTAACTGACACGATTCTTGTCTTCTAGAAAAAAAACACCCCTTCCAAGTAAATGCAGTAGTTTATGTGACGTTTTTGTAATCAAATTCTGAACCAGTTGCAGCATCTCTCTTTTATTTCATATTTCTTGCTGCTTGATGGCATGGAACCAAATCCGTACATGAATAAGAAATCAGTTCAGTCTTCATATACGTAAGAATCGAATCCAATACTTTATTATTTGATAATGAAAGCTCTCAATTAATAGACTAATGAGTTGTATGCGCTTTCTATCTTTGAACTACTTGATATCATATGATCGGAAAAGGGCATATGAGGTGTTGGTCGTACCATATTGTTAGAAATCATATTGGATGCATTTAGTTTCTAAGCCAATAGCCAAATAAAAAGAAAAATTATAACTAAGAGATTTATCCCATTGCATAATGCCATTATTTTTAAAGTTAACAATATGAATAAGGTATGCGGGATCATAAGAGCTTTATTCTGATGATAGATGTATAAGGAGCGGATCTCTAAATCATTGTTAATGGCCTTCAACTATTCTTGAGGTAGTTTATTTAATTATTAATGAAAGAAAGGGAGTTCCAATCAGCCCTAACTCCTTATCAGATAAGCTGATAACAAAGCTAGGTGTAATATCATTATAATAAATATCAAATATAAATTAGAACATGGATAAATAATCATTTTTATTAGTATCAATTTGAGTAGTATGGCTATTCAGCAAAATATTACTATTATTAAAAATTTCAATCATGTTTGGCATTGCTGGGCATAACAAAGTGAAAATTAGTGGGATTATTAAGCCCAACAATATAGCTAGGGAGGTTGTAATTAGGCAACAAAAATTTGTAGATATGGGGATGATGAAGGTTCCATCTTTAAGATTCCATTAAGGCTTCTTGCGCTTCTCTCAATGGTTAACTAAAAGATTGTTTTTTAAGGATTACATATTTGAATCCATTGCTAGAACAACAAATTTGCTTTTCTTGAGCTTCAATAAATGACGCTTCAATATTGCCTATTGATCAAGTTTGATGTTCTACCTTCTGAATGACTCCTACACTCGCCTAAGTACACCTCCTTAAGAGTTATTTCTTTCTCAGTTTCACTTTTGGCCTCTTTAATAATTCACCAATAATTATTAGGCACTACATTATCTTAAAATGCCTTAAAGTTAGTGACCTTGATCCTTATTTTTTCTTATTTTAAGATGCTCTAGCTATGGATATATCCAAATCATTGGATGGTTTTCCTACAAATGCTTCACTTCTTCTTCTTCAAATATAGGTTTGGCAATCTTCAAGGGGAGTTACCCATCTTGGTTGCTTTGTTTTGAGAGCAAGTCAAAGAGTTGGTTTTGTTCCATCAAAATTTGTATTATTTTGAATAAGTAGTGACCTTGCTTTTGCCCCAACCCTTGGTCAAGGGGTTGACCTAGTCAAATTGATCAAGCCAAGCCCCAAGACCATCTCCCTTGTGTTCAATGGGTTAAACCAGGTCTGTTGAGCCCAGACCCATGCCCTGGGTCAACTTGGTTGACTAGGTCAACCCAAGTTGACCCATTTAGCCTGATTGTGCCTAAATTCAATCCTAGTCAAATTTAAGCCCTTTTTGAATCAACTCCTCACGTGCTTGGGTCAAATTGACCATGTTGACTTGGTCAAAACTAGCCTTGCATGGTCAAACTTGACCTATTTTGATCAAAATTTACATATTCAATGTATGTAATCCTTTCCTATTGTTTCTTAGTGCAAAATCCCATCCAAATCACTCCCTCCCCCTTTTATTTAGCCTAGAACAGAACTAGGCCATTGATTTATAACCTAGGGCTATAAATAGGTGTTTAGGGTTTGTGATAAGGACTTTTGACAATCTCTCTTTCTCCAAGCCTTCTCAAGCTGAAATATTTTGTGCTTGAACTCCCACACCTTTCCTCCACCTCTTCCAAATCAAACCTTATCGGTCAAAGCCCCGACGAGGTGATCTTCGGTGAACCGAGGCCAAAGGACATCCAAAGCAAAATTTTATCGATCCATTGCATTTTGAAATGTGATTTCTTCTACAAATACAAGCATGGACAGTCTACAAGTGCAATAAGCCTTTAAACGGATTAATCCATCCATAAACAAAGATGAAATCACTAACCCTACGTTAGAACACATAAGGTTAACTAGATTTTTATAAAGCACATTTTAGGCCAAACAAAGTATCCCCCATGAATGCTCTTCATGTACAGAGCTTGTGTTTCAAATTTCACTTGATTTGGTGCACCAGACTAGTGAACGAGCCAAAACATTACTTTAAGGCTCGGTTCGACTCTTCGTCTGCTAGGGGTTGATCTCACGATCAACAGTTGAGATCCGGTCGTTTCGCAGTTCAGAATGACTATGGAGTTTGATCCACTCTCCGTTTGGCTCCATCACGACCGTTCGATTGAAATAGCGGAGCATCGGACGGTCCTGAATCCATGCCTATGTGGTTAAGTATCGTGTGGTTTTCCATGCAAACATTGCCAATGATTGTAAATCGCGTTCACGATTTTGGGAGCCAATCAGAGCTCGCCACCTGGCGCTGTCGCCGCCAGATTAGGTTTAATTGATTTTAAATCTATTTTAAATAATTTTAACTATAGTTTTCCTTAATAAATCATAATAAATTAATTATTAATCCAAAAATTATGTATTTTATACCATTTTTCTCAGAAAATATCTTCTTTAATTTAAAGGTAACATTAAGTTAAGATATTAATTATATTTTAAATTATATTAATTAGTAAATATTTCTTATATTTAATTAATATTTAGTTATAAAATGATAAAAAAATGTTTTATAAAATTTAAAATTTTATTTTTGAAATAATAATTTATTTACTTTTAAGTATCAGAGAATTTATTTTGAGTATTTAATTTTAAATAAATAAGTATTTTCTTTTTTTAAGTATTTTCCATAATTATCTAATTATTTAAATTGTTAAATAATAACTAATTAATTTAAAATTCAAATATTTAAAAAAAAAACTTATGAAAATTGTATTTATTAAATTACTTTAAAATTCAAAGGACTTTACTAATTAATTTAATATAATTTAATGATTATTTTTAAATATTAATTATTTCAAATTATTTAAAAATAATTTTTAATACATTAAATTTTAAAAATTCGCATGTATTTTATTTTAAATCTGATTTTCATATATAATACCTCATACTTTTTAGAAAAATATGTATTTTCATTTAAAATTATTTTTTGAAGCTAAAAAAAATATTTTTCTAGATTATATTTATGTATTATTCAACTACTTTCATTATTTTTTTATTATTTAAATAATTAATATGATTAATTATTTTGAAATTAAAAATTACTTTGAAACTATTTTGAAGCTTTGCTTGGGTGTCAGTGGATCTCTCATATATTTATGTATTTTTACAAATTAAATTATTTTGAATTACCCAATTTTGAACTTATATATTTATATATTTAATATATATATTTTTTAAATGTACTTTTAAATTACATATATCATAATTTCCCTAATTTTGGGTGATTCACTTTGTAAAATTTTAAACTTAGATCTTGCATATGATTGACATTCATGGGGAGGAGGATTTGTGGATGATTGAATTTCAATCAATTACTAATCACATCATTAAGCATGCTTAATTTTTTTTTATTGTTTTTTACATGTGTAGGACGTACGAGCACATAATTTAGACCCTCCTAGGTTTAAGGACATTGTGGGTTTATATTTGGTGCATATCTTTCATGTTATCCTAAGGGTTAATCTCAAATATGTGATTTAAACCTACTTAACGTATTGATATCCTAAGGAGAATAATTAAGGACCCGTCTAACGAATTTAAAAAAATTCTAGGAGCTAGGATAGATCCTCGATTGACGTGAAACTTCAAATACTTGAACTTACTGATAATCTAAATCTCCCAAAAATTTCTAGAAATTTTAGGAACCTTAAAGCCCTTAATTAACAAACCCTAATTCACCCTTTAATTAAGCCCTGATAACTTTAGAAAATTCTAATTAATTCATTTTAATTCAAAAAATTAAACATAATACCCCAAGATATTCATATTTTAATGCTTAATCTCAAAAAATTAAAATACCTTTAATTGGATTAGAATCTGAACCTTAATTTAATCTTGACTAAAACATCACCTTTTTGATTAAATTAAATAATTAAAAATTATTAAAAATTCCAAATTTTCTCCAAACACTTGGGAACACCTCTTTAGGAAATTTCTGACCTTTGAGGGTGATTCCAAGTAGTTTGGAGCTGATTTGGATCAAAATCCCTAAAATGCCTTTTTATGAAATAATTTTAATAATGCGTTAATTGCCCCAATCTTTAAAAAAGCATAACTAATTCCAAAAAAAATTAAATGGGGAAAAATAAAAGTCATTCAACTCTAAGATCTAATATTTATTAAAAATATTAGGTTTTCAAAAACCAACCTAAATAAAAAAAAGCAACTCTCTGATCAACCGTAGTTCGTTAACCAAGGTCCAAGATTTCTAAAGTTCATAGCTTTGCCTAAAAAGCTCCAAATCTAGAAATCTCATAGCCTAACTACTCCATTTGAGGCCTAATATTTAATTAAAATGCTAGAACCCCCAAACTTAGTCTATTTCCATTAGTGACCTTTTGGACCCCCCTTAGCTTAGCGTATATGATGACCCCATGCCTCCTAAAATTTGCTAATGCAATTTAAACTTCCAAGATTACTACCCTAAGCAATTAAATGAATCCACAAACTAAATTAACAAAAATGGACCCAAATTCATTAATACTTAAACCCTAATCAAATGTCCCTTTTTAGCTTTCAACAAACTCGATTACAAAGCAAGTCGAACTAACTACCCAATATATGAACTATCTAATGTTACATAAGCCTACCACACATAATAGATTTACTACAGTACCACTTCTATCTCTAGGATTAGGGCCGATGTTTTACTTTTTTTTTTTGTTTCTATGATGTGATACGACTGTATGTGGCATGTATAATTGATTGATTTGCTATGGTTTGATTTG